AATATTTGCTCTGACACTATTTCAGCCAACTACCTGGACATGCTGAATAGTACCCTCAACAACTGTTAATTCAAATTTTCCATTTCTTTCTCCAAACAAAATCCAGTATTTTAGAAACATGTAATTTTGCTTATAAAGCAAATCCTTTCTTCCAAGCTAACTTAAAATTATATATATTACACAAAGACCCAATATTGAATCCAAGTAATCAAAACTAATTTTATATGTACAGTATCTTTAGTGTAAAAGCAAATGATAAGAACTGCTATACTAGCCTAGTTTTCTTAAACAAGATCCACCTTCCTGCCCTCCTGCATACATTTCCTATGTTTTGAACATCCTCTGACTCTCAGAGTAGGAAGACTCCCAGTATTGGAAACAGTAATATATTAAGCTGCTTTAATGTTATTTAAAATAACATGGGTTCTAGAAAAATACATACAGGCCATTAAATTGTGAAGAGGTTTGCACTCATTAGAATTGTTAATGGATGGACTATGTAAATGGATTCTGATAAAACTCAGGTTCATCCTATGAGATCAGGCAAAAACTTTTCCTAACACTGCCTTAGCTAGAAACTAAGACTTGGGGGGATTGTTGTCTCTGTTTTGGTCTTTCCTAATCAAATAGCTTGATTCTTTTGTGTGAGTCATTTCTGTATTTCTCCCAGTTGAGTCTCTATATTATGCTCTATCCCCTTTCTTTTTTTTTCATCTGAATGAGAATCAATAAAATCAACATTTAAAAAGGGGGTCTCTGCAGATTTTACTCCACTAGTCATTGACTATGGATGCTCATCTCCGTTTCAAGACCATTGAGCCAGCACTATGCAAAGACACTTCCATGGCCAGCATGATGTCACAGTGCTGTTACCTTCCTACCAAAGTGGTACCTATTTATCTACTTGGGTTTGTATGCTTTCAAACTGCTAGGTTGGCAGGAGCTGGGGCAAAGACAAAAGCTCATCCCGTTGTGCGGCACTGGGTCTCGAACCTTAACCACTGAGCCATTGCGCCACCAAAATCAAAATCAAGAATACTGTGACATATATGTGTTATATGTTCCCATCCCATAGCAAAAATAAATAGCACATCAGATTGCACTTAAGATGTAAATCAAAGATAAAAATGTATGCAATAGCAGGAAATTTATTTTGTAATCTAAATACAATTTTAGAAAGGAAACGTTATGTCATACCTATTAGAGACATATGTGCATGAAAAATGTACTTCTCTTGTTACAGCTTTTTCCAATTTTAGGGTTATGGGGTCCACACTTCATTATACCTATACATATATTGATTTTTTTAAAATCTAAATATAGGTTGTATGCTCTATTGGTATGTGAGAAATCTTTCTGCCAATGACTACCTAATAACATTTACCTATTAAGTACTACAGGTAGCTTATTTTACAGCCATTTGTTTAGTGGTTGTTTGAAGTTACAACATCATTAAAAAAGTGACTTATGACCATTTTCGCTTACAACTGTTGCAACATCTCCAGGGTCACATGATCAAAATTTGGGCATTTGGCAACCAGCATGTTATTGTGGGGTCATATGATCACCATTCCTAATCTTTCCAGCCAGCTTCTGACAAAGTCAATGGAGGAAGCCAGATTCACTTAATGAGCACATGATTCACTTTACAACTGCAATGATTTGCTTAACTGTGGTAAAAAAAAGGTTGTAAAATCATGTGCAACTCACTTAGTAACAGAAATTTGGAGCTTTCAGTTGGGCTCAATTATGGTCATAAATCAAGGACTAGCTATATTGTATTTTTTTTCATGCAATGAAACTGGGATCAAGATGTGAGATGTATTCTTCAATCGTACTCATATTCTTAGAGTTCAGATTCATATTTCTAAGAGAGTGGTCAATATATTTGAAGAAAATTTACAGGGTGTAAAAAGTTTACAGAACCTTTGTAAACTTCGTAGTCTGAGGACCAAGATTATTATGTATGAATTATAAGAGAGTAGTCTACAGACAATCAATATATTAAGCCCAAATATTTAAAAGAACGCTAAGAAGTTGTACACATTCAAGCTGAACACATCAAAAGAAATCAAAAGCATGGATACAGAAGTGGGTCTTAGACAAATTATTAGGCTGAAATTCTGGTTTAAGATGGTTGGAACTTAATGAGAAACCACATTTAAGAAGGCCCCTGTGTGGGTATTGCGTACAAATTTATTTAATAATACTTACATATCACACAGTTCATACAACTCTGAGTGATTAGCAATAAAATAAAAAAGTAAAAAAAATACACTCAGTAATAAATACAAATTTATAACAAATGTCAAGACAGTCCATTCATGACCAATCAACAAAAAACATAAATATCACCCATCATGCATCCAACTACATAATATAAAATACCAAGGAGAGTGTAGTTCTGATGAAGAGTGATTCTAAGACCACAAATGAAACTATGCAGCAGAATATTAGAAGGTGTATTTCATGTTTCTCTTTCATACTAACCACACAGGGAACATTTGTATCACATACAAATAATGTGTATTGCATACACATTACTTTGTTATGCTAAATGTTTTGTTTTAAATATATTTTGTCTTGCTTTATATAACATATGAAGTTAAAAATAATAGTTTAAAAATTAGAAAATCAGTTCACACAATAATTTGTTGCAATCAAATAAACCACATTATGGTTTAGAACAGTGGTTCTCAACCTTTTTAATGCCGCGACCCCAACCGGTTGTAAGTCAAGGACTAAACCGGTCGTAAGTCGAGGACTAAACTGGTCGTAAGTCAAGGACTAAACCGGTCGTAAGTCGAGGACTACCCAACCGGTCGTAAGTCGAGGACTTTCCCTGCCCGGGAGCGCCGCGCATGCGTGGTTCCGCCCCCTGCGCTGGCCGAGGCGTAGCTGGCAAGCGGCAGAGACAGAGCAGGCCGACCACCAGCTGGCCCAGCCCAAGGGAGGTAAGGCACCCGCCAGAAAAGGGAAAAAATGGCGGACAAAAAAAATGGCGGACAGCCTTGCTTGGCGACCCCCATGAAATGGTCGATCGACCCCAAATGGGGTCCCGACCCACAGGTTGAGAACCACTGGTTTAGAACAATACAAAAATTTAGCCATATTCTGTAAAGCTGCATATTAACTCCTTGCAAGCCTTCGTCCTTTTAACTGAACCAACTAAATTTTAAATACAGTAACAGCACAGGGGATGAATGTTTATCACAGAATCATCTAAAGCTCAGCAGTGAAAAACAGAGGCAAATGAAAGGACACAAGAAATAAAATGCATATAGAAATCTGGATGGTTGAAAACATTTTTTTAAAAACATGAAAAACTTCTTCCCCTAAGCATCTTCCCTTCTCGTTTACATGATACTTGATAATTCCCCAAAATAAACTGATATTTTATCTTTGAAATTCTAGAAATATTTTATTCTGCACAATTAGTGCACGTAACCAAAAAAATCCTGTAATCAGTTGACTGTACTATTTCAAGAGAGCTGCACACTCTACTTTCCAACAGTATGAATATTTGCCGCACAGAGAGTCATTGTATTTACAAAAAACCCAAGTAGAATGAGTGAATGCAGTCCCTTCTTCAGGAGGAAACAGGCTCCTTGCCCTTCAGATAGCTAGTGCCTGGCACTGCTACTTCTGCCTCTCTTGAACCCTAATAACAATATAAATAGTTGAGTCATGCCTTAATTTTGCTAACATGCCACAAAAAAGATCTCAAACAAATCTCATACCTTTTCTGCAACCAAGTTCCTGAAGACGTTAGTATACAAGAAGTCCCAAATTAATTTAATACTACCTTTTTGTTGCTCTTCTCTGAATAGGCATCTTTTTCACCAAGTATGTCTATTAGATTATAAACTAGAATTTTGATGGAGAAGAAAAAAGAGGGAGAAGAGACATTCCAGAGCACCAATGCTCTAATGATCCACAGTCACAGTTTGAAAGATAGTCTGTGAGTCTGTTTCAAACAACATCTCGTAACCCTAGAGTACCCTCTTGATGACTGGCTGCCAAGATCAATAAGGGTCAACAGCTGCGGCCTTTTCCAAAAGCTTACCACTCCATCCAAGGAGCAGATTCAGGTAGGCACGCAAAGAAAGCTATAGCAAAGTTGTGGATTCCTAATTGCCCGTTAGGCGTCTCTACAAGGGAGAGGAAGGGAGATGTTGTTTAAAGCAGCCAACTAGACATTTCATGCGGTGTCGGGAACAGGGGGCGGGAGGAAAAGCCCACAGTTCCCATTCGAGAGAGAGAGAGAGAGAGAGAGAGAGAAGTCAAATGGGTAACACGCCCCTCCGATTTCCTGCCATATTACGGAAGCTAATTTCTGCATTGGCGTGCCCGCTCGCGCACCACTGACAAGAAAAGCGCTCCCTCCCCGGATACCAGAGAGGGCGGCTCGCTCGCGCGCTCCAGGCCCCGGCATCTTTTCTCTACTACTTCATCATCTTGCTCCCCCGCCCCCCAACTAGCCGTCTTCCGTCTGTGGCGCTATGGCAGCCACGCCGCGTGGTGTAAAGGCAACGCCACGGAAGGGATTCCCTCCCTATCCCCCGTTTATGGATGGATGGTGGTGCTTTTTTGACAGCGCGTGATAACAAGAGATGGATTTGGCCCCCGGCTTTCATTCAAGGCTTTCCAGCAGCCACCCCTAAACCTCCAAGCGCCCCGGCCAGAGAGTCAGCGCGCAGACCAGACAATTAAAGGTCTCTAGGGGTAGGTGGGAAAACAGACCTGACGTTGCCCCTTCTCCCCTTCCCCAAACGGACAGAGGGAGATAGACAAGACACACCCTTCGGATGTGTCCTACTCCGCCTCACGATACTTGCCATTACTATTATAATATGCCACAAGAGACGAATAGCAATAGCGACCACCCGGTTCGGCCTGCCTCGCGATCAGCCACGCAGCAAGTCTCAGCCAAAAAAAAAAAAAAGGGAGGGGGAGAAAGACAGGCACATACCCCAAGCTTTGTCTACGTTCACACTTACCCATTTATGTCGAGCTTGGACTCTGCCAGACAGGGTGAAAGTTTGAGGTTTGCGAGGCGGTGAAAGGCAACCGAGCCGATGGAGTCAGATGAATTACAGGAAGCTTCTTTTCTCCGATTGCAGAAAGAGCAACGTCTTCTTCGCTTCCTTTCGACTAGTCAGTGCCCATTGCAATAACAGCAGCACTGTTGTATTTTATTTCCTGCTCTGAAACTCTCCCGCCCTCCGAAGAAAAGAGGAAGGGGGGGGGACTTTTTTCTTGACAGAAAAAAAGAACAGGGGACGACGACAAAGCACTTGACGCGCCAGCGAGAAACGTAAAGGAAAAGGGGGGAAACGGTCCCACCTGGAACTGCGAGCAAGGGAAGCAGCGAGGGAGAGTGTGCGCGCGCGCGTTAGGGCGGGAACGCAAGCAAAGGGGCGGCGGGAACGGTTCGCTGCAAGGGAATGGGGTGGTTGAATGGATGGGTGTCGCCCTTCTCGAGACCCTTCGTGCGGCAAGGTAGGAAGTGGAACTACAAAGGGAACTGGCGCTCAGCTACCCACTCGACCCTGACCGGCAGTGCCCTGACAAGCAGGGCAAAGGCACGAGAATGCCCCGCCGTGGCCGATCTTCGGGCATCCGGCGGTACCCGGGAGAAAGCGTTGCTCACTGTGATTTTTATTAAATCGATTCATATGGCCGCCCATCTCGCGAATGCGATTCAGGACACGTTGATTAAAGGAATAAAAAGCAGTTTTAACAAAGACTAAAAACCTACAGTGATCACTGAGTGTAAACCCGCACAATCAATCAAGAAAGACCACTCAATGGTCTTCTGAGCCCCAGGCCTTGGAGCAATCCAGGTCTCTATGAGAAGCTGGTAGGGTCGGGGCCAATCTGATCTTGGGGCTTATAGTGTATCAGAGGACAGGAACTGGGTCAGAAAGGGTGAGGTTCCATAAGATGATATTCTTTTCAGGGGCTGATGCACACCCTTGTTCCTACCCATCTCTTTCAGTCCAACAACTGAAAAGAAATCCTATAAATAACCCACCCCTATGCCAAGGATTTATAGGTAAAACTAATGCGTTGAATTCTACCCAGAAGCACACTGGCGGCTACTTCAGCTTAGTGTTGGTGTAATTATGGCAACCATGGTGTAATGTAGGTATACCAAGGTGTACCTGTAATTGCATTCTGAATCAGCTGCAGCTTCCAGATGGTCTTGAAGGCAGCCACTTGTAGAATATGTTGCAGTAATCCATTCAGGTTGTCACCAAGGCATGAGTGATCATGAACAGTCCAGGAAGGGGAACAATTTTAGTGCATAAAACAAAGCGGAGCCAGAGTCCTCCTGACCACTGTTGCCACTACTATTCAAGCAGGAGCTGTGACTCCAGGACCCCAAGATCTAAAGACTAAACAGGGCAATGCTATCCTGTCCAGAATCAAAGATGGACATCAAACAACTTGGCAGGGATGAGATACAACCTATTCTCCATCCAGACCTTCACAATATCCAGACATTGGGACAGAACCTCAACAACCTTTGTATGGCTGAGGGCTGAAGTATACAACTGGGCATTATTAGCATATCAGTGATACTTCGTACCAACAGATGACTCACCCATGGGTTGGTGTAAATAATGAATAAGGAGGAAAAGGATAAGTTCTGAGGCTTCCTGCAAAGCAGAGGCCTAGAGCTCAATCAAATCTCTTCCATCAACACTGAATGAAATTAGTTTTGGAAGAACACTGCCAAATGGTGCCCCTCTCTCCCAGCCTTAACAGCCAGGACACCATGGTGATGGTACAGAAGGCCACTGAGAGATCCAGGATGTGCCAGCCCATCACATACTCGCCACATAGTCAACAAGTGTGACCAAGCCATCCCAATCTGAATTCCAATTGGAAAGGGTCCATATAATGTACTTCCTATGGATCCTATGAAGCTGGAAGCCAACCACTTTCTCAACAACCTTCCCTAAAAGGGAAGGATAATGACTGGACAAAAATTATCCAGATTGTTTGGATCCAAAGATGGTGTCTTGAAGAGCAGATGGAACTGTCCCCTCTTTCCAAGAGGAATTTACTGACACGTGGATCCACTTATGTTAACCAATCAGAAGGATACAATATACAGGGAATCATACTTACAGCTCTTGAGGATCCTGTTCACTTCCTTGGGATTAACATGCTTGAACTCAGCCTGGATAACATCACATGAATATGCATCACTGTTCTCCAAAGAACCTACTCAGCTGGAGTCTAACAGTGAATCCAAGTGATTTTATTCACTGAATGCCAATAGTCCATACAACCTCACAAATGTTCTGTCAATCCCTTCTGACCCAAAAGGGACTGGGTTGCCAAAATCCAAAGGACACAATAAGGACAGAGAAATGAGTCTTTTTTGCTGCCCATATTGAAATAGGATAGATATGCTCTAATTAAGGCTGCTACCTGTGTCCAGTCAGGTTTGCTCCAAGTTTTTTGCCAGCAGTGCTCTAGGCCAGGGCTTTTCAACCTTTTCACAGATTGTACCAATTTTAGGACACAACAATATTCGAGTACCACCAGTGCTTAGCAAGGTGTCAAAAATTTGATCACTGAAAAAAAAGGGATGAGATTTTGGGTTTTACTGGTTAGATTCATTTGTTGTTATAGAAATGGCTAGTTTATACAGTATTATGGAAAAGTAAAAAGTTGAGGTTCGATGTTAATGTTTCATTCTACTGCAACAGAGGAAGTCAGAAGCCAATGCCTTTTCCCCTTCTCCCCCTCAGTTTTCCCCTTCTTCCTCTCCACTGTGTCTTATTTGCTTTTGTATTTTATTCCATAATCTAATAAAATGTTACAAACCGTTAAAAAAAAGGAAAAAAGTACTGGTTTTAATTTATTCGGTGGCGGTTCCTTTGTTCATGGGCCATGTGGAGGACCCCCGGCAGTGCAGGCTCATGGTGTGTGCAGGAGGGCAAAATGTGTGGGTCAGGGGGAGGCCCACTCCCTCTCCATGCAAGGAGACCCGGCTTTGTAACAAAGCATCCTCAGCGATAGCATGGGAGACCACCAGGAGAGTCAGGAGGAGGGGACAAGGGGATGGCAAAAGGGCAGCAGGGCTGGTCGTGGCCAACTATGGCAGGACTTCCCTCTCATTATAATCTATCTTCCTTCCTTTCCTTTCTTCCTTTCCTCTTTTCTTTTTCCTTCCCTCTTCATTCTCCTTCCCTTTTTCTTCCTTCCCCTCTTTCCTTTTTTCCTTCCTTGCTCTCTTCCCCTCTTTCCTTTTCTTTGTCTTTCCTCTTTCTCTTTCTCCTTTCCTGTCCCTTCTTGGATGCTCAAATGCAAAAGGGGAAACATTTCTCGATGCCTCCTTGCCTTGTGATCAAATGCCACTTTTGCTAGTAGTTTGTGGCCACTTAAAAGACTGAGAAAAAACCAGGCTCAGTTTATCCTGTGTTTGCATTTAGTGGAGCCATCCACAGACAACAGTACAGCAAAACTGTCAAAATGATGGCTGTGATAGTTGATCAGAGCTCCTCCGTTTTTTATGTGCAACAGCTTTAGCATTTAGGAACAGAGGTAGCTTAGTTGCTTTTCTATTAATACATAATCCTTAAAAGAGCTCTCTTGTAGGGACCCTGGAAATATAGCAAAGGGAAATATTTCCCTCCACTCTGCTTTGTCCTGTTTTCCCCACTGGAAATGGCTGTTAGCAACACAAGGAGGGGATACTTTCCTAAGAGCTCACAATTCAAGAATACCAATGTTAACTTGGATTGCCAACATTTCCCTGCAAATGGGAGCGGGTTGCTAAAGTAAGCTCCAGAAAGCAACATCCCCCAACTCCAGATCATGCCCCGAGACAAAAACCTGGAACAAGTGTCAGTTGAGCCTGCGATACTTCTGCACTGCCTCCAAAGAACTTCACCATTAGCCTGAAGATATCCTCAGGCAGAGCAGTCAGGGAGGCTGGTACAGTAGCAGAACTCCTAATTTATTGCTAAGGCCCAATGTCATAAATAGGAATTCACACCTGACTATCTACTATTGTCTATCAGCATTATTCTCCCATCACTAACCACATACATCCCAAGCTGCCATTGCCCCCTTTCCTTAGTTATCAAAGACCCCACTCACGCCTGATGTCTGTCCACAGAGCTGATATTTTAGTATCAGGGTACTCCTGAGCATGTACTCAGTCTCTGTTGTTCAAAACACTAAAAAGTAATGTATTCTAACAGCCATATTTCAGTTCAGAACCTTTTGTTTTACATGCAAAAATCATAGACCACCAAGTAAAAGGAACAGATGGTAGGATTCTTGTTGGAGACCTACTGAAGTTACTATAGTTAGAATCAGAGCTAGGCAGAAATATCATCTGTAAATAATGAGGAATCGAAAGTACTGGTAACGGGTAGACTAAGAACTGTTACAGTAAATCAGCATATACATCATGTTAAGTTTCTCCTTGAGAGGCTAAACCAGGGGTCTTCAAACTTGGCCTTTTTATGACTTGTGGACTTCAACTCCCAGAATTGCTCAGCCAGGCAATTCATCCATCCATTCCTTCAACAAGTTATTTCTTTGTTTCTTTACATTTTCTTCTCAAAGTTTCAATAATGGACAATATACATCTTTGGGCCAGTCACTCTCTCTCAGCCCAACGCACCTCAGACAGTTGTGGGGAAGAGACAAAAATATTACAAATGTTCAGCACCTTCCGATAGTAGATAAAGTGGGATAAAAATCTAATAATAATAAAATATAATGGAATGGAATTTATTTAGTGTATGGCAATGGAATGGAAAATCATGACTTACAAAAGCACTGAGCTTCCCTACTTACTAAAAAAAGTACTTATAGGTTAATTTATTATGCAATAAAAACGTGATAACGCACAACTTTGTTTTTATCAGCCACTAATTAAGAGAAAATAAACATGGGATTTGAGACAGTCTGGTGCTGTACTTCTGACAGCCACAATACTCATGGAAGAGAAGCACCTGCAATCTTCAAAAATAGTTTTTGAATTCTTCAAACCTGAAAGCCATTCTAGGAGTGCATAGCAGTAACACTATATAACCAAACAGGTGCCTCAAGACCAATGTTTAGGACAAAAACAGGAAAATATAAGTGAACCCGTTATGTTTAGACATATCTGATCAAAGTATTGAGATGTGAAAGGAAATTAGACTATTCCTTTGATCTATGATAGTTCTCACATGCAAAAGTAAACTACCCCGGCACTACATTTACCATAATTAAAATATACTTTCCTATTCAAAAAAGATGCAAAAAAGTTGAGCATTATTATAGACAGAACTTGTATTAAATGTTCACTGCCTGCTTCAATTCTTTCATAATGAGTTTTAGGTTTGCTACAATAAATTATTACTTGGATTCTTCTGTATTTGCTTTCAGCCTAGCTTCTCAAGGAGAAGCCTAACATGATAAATATGCTGATTTATTGTAACAGATGCTTCCTACCCTATAAAAAGTGGTTTTAATAAAATTATTTTTAAAAATATATTTTAAAAATCATGTTTACTTGTACATATATTAAATCATTAATATATTTTGAATGTAATACTCATAGCTAGTATTGAGTTTGGAAAAACACAAAGGAGCAGGACATGGTTGAAGGATAATCCTGTCTTCTGGTGACAATGCAAATAAACTATTTTAACTGTTATTTGTATATATTTCTAATATTCTATTTGAAATGTTTAGAGAGACATCAAATCTTTCCTTCATGCAGACAGTAATGAGATTTTTACACAGTCACCCACAAGTTAGCAATGTCACTTAGAAGATCTGCAACTTATGTGCCTATTCCATATAGCTGGTGTCCACAGAAGCCCCTGTGTATAAACACAGCAGTATGAGCTTCAGGCTAGATTCGCATTCTTTGTTTCTTCAGAAATGTAGAAGGAATATGAATGGCTACATTAAAGAGGTAAATTATGTGTTTGATGCCACTGGCCTTGAAAGCAACAGAGTCTATCTTACCTTGAAATGGATTCTCTTGCTCCTTTCCATTCTAAATTAAGTATTAGGCATAAGTCAGAAAGAGCACTGGTCACTCTATTGAATGACTTTTGTCAATACCTGAAGGACCAGTGTCTCTTCCTTGGTGTTATTGTACATCTCTCAGCAGTTTTGATGCCACTGACTATGACATCCAAAAATTGGAGGCATTAGGGTCGTACTGATTCCACTGACTGCTTGAAGCACTGTCTTATATATAGGAAGCAGAAACTGTGAGAGAAATGTAATCTGATCCTTGGTTATTCCAATACCATATAAGTGGCTTAGCTACCTCCCTACTGCTATTTAACATCTACACAGAATTGTGTGGGAGATATCACTCTTTATTTCAGGTGATTATCATGAATAGAATAGGAATAGTCAGTAAATAGATATGACTTGGGAAATCTTCCTCCAGCATAGGTTGGTGCCGCAATTTCATTGAAGCCCTGGAGATAACTCACCCACTTTTACCACATGGTTAGACATCTGGGACACATAAGAATGAAAGGCCACTGTATGCCTCACCAGTTGCTCTGTGGTGAACTGGAGACCAAAAGAGACTTCAAGGTCATCCACACAAGTGCTACAAAGATGCTGTGAATGAAACCCTATGCAACTGTGACATCCAGCCAAGAGAAATAAAAGCTGCGGCTGCTGACAGAACCCATTGGCAAATACTGTGCCACAAAGCCTATACCAGTTTTGAAGACAGAGTCTTCCAAAAACTGATAGAAAATTATGAATGGAATCCCAGAATAACACCCACAATTATTGTTAACCATGGATGTCTGATGCTCCCATTGTGCTAGACTCTGGGCTTCCAGAATGAGATTGCAAAGCGACCTGTGTTCACAGATGAGCAGCACAACAATATGTCTTCTTTGAAGAAGGACTACCTGTGTTAGATTATATAACACATTCTACAGAATTACCTTTGAAAATGACCTGGAAGATAGAAATGATATTAAATATGGCAATCAGAATGCTGACAGATAAAAATTGCCATTATATGTAATACCTATCTTGTAATCATAGAAGCTATTCATGGGTTTTCTAGTTCAATCTGGAATGCTGGTTTTGATCTATAAAATCTTATACGACTCAGCACCAGAATACCTCAGGGACTATCTCTTCCACGTGGAATCTGCTTGTCCTGTGTATGTAGATGAGAGGATGCTTAAAGATCCTATCATCATATTAGATCAGAAGTACATGAACCCAAAGGTACACCTTTTCTATAATGCTATGGAACATCTTAGGAAAGGCAAAATATGGCTTCGTATATCAGAGGCTGTAAGTAATTATTTTGTTTGTTTATTATATAAGCAATAAACTTTAAACATATAAATTTATGTATAACAACTCCTAGCAACAAAACCATGCTTAGAGGAAAAATGATAATAAATAAAGATTTCCTTCAGGTGGGATTTTTTCCCCAGACTTCTCTTTACGAGGAACAAAATGACAATCCTACAATGTTCAGTTGAAAGCTATTTTTGAAAAGCATTCTTAAAACTGTAGAAAAGACCTGCAACATTATACTACTAAAAATAAAATTATCTTTATCAAGAAAAGTTTTTCCATTTCAATTCTTGATAGCATTATTTAATGCAAACAGTTACTTCTATAATTAAACTTGTTATCTACTGCAGTACTGTAGTTCAGATGTCCAGTTCCTGTGAAAGGAATAAAAAATAAATTAAATATATACAAAAGTTTCTAATTTGTTAGCGAAAAGTATTAATCTGCCGCTTCATATTTTTATTTGTTTAGCTTTTCTAAAGCTAATTTTGAATTTCCAAATTTTACCAGTCCTAACTACATTTAACAATCCTCATAAACTTCACCCAAAAGAACTCTAAAGGGATTGGAAAAACATTCTATTGTACCAAGTATCTTCGAAATCCTATATAATTGCTAGGCTTCTGGAATTTGCAATTAGCAATATTTTATTTCTGTACATTAATTTTAAAATGAAATGTTATAGATGCTTAAAGTGGTTCTGATAATAAAACACTGTGAATGCTAACTACAGGAAAACACTAAGAACCTATTTAGAGTCATTCACTCAACCTAAATAGTTCTATTTTTACAAATATAACAATGCTGTAAAATGCTGTCAACTAAATGTATTGTCCTCAGCTGTATAAAACCCTTTTCTGCTTCTGCTTCAGCCTCTAGAAACCAATTCTGCACTAACCCTTCCTGGAAAGAAAGGCAAAGGCAATTTCAAGTACTTCCTACTAGTTTAGTTAAGTAGGATTCCGTCGGAAAGAATATATTTTGTTTAGGCAGATTCACATTGGGTGGGTTCATATATTAAGCCATAATGTTTGAGTAGTTTTGGTTTAGTGTAATGGATAAAACTCAATCATTGGCCTATATATAGAATTTAAGGCTTAATGTTGAATGTGAACCAACCCATTCTTCCCAACTGCATTTACTATATGAGGATTTAATCATGTTTATTGTATAAACTATTGTGGCTTGGATTCTACGTAATGCTAAGCTTTAATGACTTCATTCATTACCTGCTGCCAAAATCAACCCAATTACATTATAGTTTAGTATCATGTGTGAATCCAGGATTTTTTTTTTCTAGTCAGCAAAAAGGAAGAAAAGGACTATCACTTGGCCCAGCTTAAAAAAAATCTAACTCATCTAGCTGTGCTATATTTTAAAAGATGGATATACTTATTAATTTGTACATTTAATTTGCAGCCCACACTTTAAACTGAAAGAATCCCAGTTTTGTCTATAGATCAATAAAAAATAAGTATGCTTTTAAGTTTATATTTTAAAAAAACAGCAAAAGAATAATATAGAATAAAAAGAATATTCAGGTTGCTGTAAGGATCTTATGTGTTTTGCTATACTATTATCAATTCAAATGTCTGATGGAAGACTATGGGAAAGGTAATGCTTGATGGAACTGACTTTAATAAACTTTTTTTTCACTGCTTCCTTGTTGCTAAAACAGAAAAAAAAGAAAAAAAAGGAGAAAACTCAGAAGAACCATAATTTACTGAAAGCTATATAGAGTTATATTTTCTTCCCTTAGAATTAAAGCCTTTAGCTTTAAAATCTAAGGAAGGAATAAAGGCAGTGTAATGCCTTAAAATCCTGAAAAAAAGAGTTGGTCACACAAATACAAAGTAAAATACATAAGAAGTAATCTCATGCCGCACTGTGAATAGCGATGCAGAGGAGACAAAATGTACTAACAAAGTGGTTTTCTGATAGCAAGGCTGTTTACAGGTAAAGAGATAAACATATTAGGCAGCTCCAGTGATGTTTCTCACACTGATTCTCAGGTGATGACCATATAGCTGCAATCACTTCATCAAAACAGGTAAGTGTAAGAAGTCTACTTTTCCTGGCCAGTTCAAATTTCTATTATTTTAGCTTTCTATATTCAGAAACAAATAACCAGCAATCATGAAATAAACAGTAGGTTGAGGGTGGAATTCCCCCCCCCACATAATCTACCTTGCACGATTATCATGAAATCAAGCTGCTACTCTAACAGAGAGAATATAAATGTAATAAATGAATACTCAAAGATATGGTATGTACTTATAATTCATACTTGCATCAAAAACGTTTAAGTAATTGTTACAATAAAAACAGCCTTTCAATTTCAGGCTTCTGGTTTTGCGCAATAGCACACTAGCCAAGGGATCACAGGGCTCTGCACCCTACAGCCAATTTCTGCCTGCTAGGGGACCCTAAATGGGCCTGAAGTTGTCCTGTAGAGCAGGGATCCCCAACCCCCGGTCCGTGGACCAGTACCAGGCTGCAGCATGCCAGAAACTGGTCCGCACAAACAAGCAAAGCCCCATCTGCAGGATGTAGGCAGCACACAAAACCATGCCGCCTCCGGTCCACGGAAAAACCTGTAACTGATCCCTGATGCTCAAAAGGTTGGGGACCTCTGCCGTAGAGGCAACAAAGAAGGAAGTCCCGCTGATTGCGGAGAGACAGTGGTCGATCCAATCAGTTTGGGAAAAGCCCTCCAGAAACCAGCAGGAGAAAGGCTAGCTTAACTGCAGAGTCTAGCCCAAGCTACAAGAAGCCGAAGCCCAAAAGCACTACTTTAAGCTGACTGTAAACAACGTGTTTGGAACTGGGTAAGAACAGTGATTTTCTCTCTTCTACTTGAAAATTGATTTCATGGGAAAAAAACAAAAAAAAAAACCCAAGAAGCAAAAAGCCTCCGAAAGTGAGAGGGGGGGGGAAATCTTTGCCCCACCCTCCTACAGATGGAAGTGGCAAATTAAACTTTTTAGGGGGAACAGAAATATACTGAAATGAAGTGAATATGACTTAATTTGGATAAGTTTGAAATTGGTGGAACCTGTTAAGATTTTCCTTTTAAATCATGAGAATAGAAGTAAGCAATTGTCTATTACTGACTGGTGCTGACATCTAGTGGTGGATAAAAATATACAACAGAAATTGCTTCATTACAGGGACTGGCAAAGACCAGGAAAAGATAACTTCGTTTTGGTGACCTTCAATGTCTTAATAAGAGAGAGTAGCTGTGACAAAAAAGAAAGAAAACATTTTGGGCTTTCTACAAAGTGGGAATTATAAACTCTAAAAAAAAGAATTGACCTTTCTGGATTACATATACTAAGTCAACTGTGACTAAAACTGACTGCAGAGAAAGGAAAACCCTGATTTTTAGCTATCATGAAAAACCAGAGACCTGCAGAAATATACCAAGAAAAAACAAATACTTTCTAGAAGGAGATCTATGCTATGTTGCAACTAATCCAAACAACAATGATCTCAAACCACGAGGAAATTAAAAATAACTTTAAAAATATAAATGAACACATCTCCAACTTAACTTTACAACACAATAATTCTCAGAAAATAAAAACAGAGAGTGAGCAAAAAAAAACAGACAACTGAATACGAGACAGAGGAGAGAGATTTCAAGATGGAACTTAACAATAGAAGAAAGTATGACTTAACCCAGAAGGGAAAAAACTTACAGGAAATACTGGACATGGAAAAGGTAACCTATACCCTAAGATTACAAAATAAGTTTGAGGACAAGAAAAAAGATTTGACCAAATGGACTCTGCTAGGAGAACTACAAGAACTTGAGAGACAAAAAATGATAAATAAAATTAAGAAAAGAAATGAAAAGAAAAGAAAGAAGGAAGGAAAAAAGGAAGGAAGGAAGGAAGGAAGGAAGGAAGGAAGGAAGGAAGGAAAGAAAGAAAGAAAGAAAGAAAGAAAGAAAGAAAGAAAGAAAGAAAGAAAGAAAGAAAAGATTCTCAATGAATACGAAGGGGCGAAACCTTCCTTTAAAAATATCTTACCTGTTTTGCCTTTTGTACCTGCAACAACACTTTTAAGATTATGGAAAGATTCTTTGATTCAGCAAAGCGTATTGATCAGGAAAGATGTTTGGTAAAAAAAAAAAAAGGGCTGAAGTGATAATTAGGAAATTAGATGATTGGAATTACCAGAGGGAATATTTAAAAATTAAGCATCTGTTTGAATATGGTTAAAGAAATAGAAAGATTTTGTATATAAATGAAGATTAGTTTAAGAGGGATGAACCCCTCAAGTAACAGTATTTTTTCTTTCTTTTTTCCTTTGTGTTTTGTTTTTTGACATGAGAAATATAAAAATGTTGGGATGTTTATATAAAAGAAATGTTTTCTCTGTTTTTTTTCTTTTTTTAAGATATGAGAAATGTAAAAGTGTTGGGATGGCTTGTATGAGAAAAAAGACTTAAATACTTAAGTGTAACTAATTTTGAGAAAATCTTAGCCAGTAAGAATGAATTGAATATTATGGGGAAACAAATTTAAATAAGAATTCTGTAAACAGGATCTATGATGAGGCAATTAGAAAAGAAGCTTTATATTGATGTGGTTATTATTTGCAGAAGCATGAGAAAAATGTCTATATTTGTCATTTATTCAAATAATACGAACTGTATTAATTTAAGGTTGGCAAAAGAGAATATTATTGGAAGAAGAGAAAATCAAGCAAAGCCATTATATGGACTATAGAATTATAGAAATTGTTATTATTTTTTAAATACTAACTCAGATAACACGCTGTTTACCAAATATTAAGATGATTATGTTAAAAATCAATCAAATATATTTTTTTAAAAGCCTTTCAATTTCTATCTTTTATATTTATCAAGATAATGACAACTGTTTTATTATAATTGTTGTAGAACTTGCCATGATTTGATTGCAGTGAAGGTATAGTTGTCATCTATACAGTCATTTGTATTTAGAATTCATTTTGTTATCTATTTGTAGAATTCTTGTCATTAACCATAATTATATTTTTCTTGACAACCATTCAAACTTTGACCCAAAATAATTCATTTACCTGCTGTTTTCTCAAAAGTTCTTCTCTGATTTTATAAGTCGTAACTCCTCTTGCTCCAGCATAACGTAACCGCTGATATTTAGCCTGTATGTACAAGCCCTTTTGTACTAAATTTGATCTGAAGTGGGGGCGTCCATCAATAAAACTGCACTGTTGAGAAAAAATAATAATCATGTAATAGTTTTCATAATCTTATCTAAATAATCCTTAATAGAAGAATCAAGAATTTTAAGTGTAAGTTTTATTTGTGTATGCATTTATGTGTGTGTATATACACACGCATATTATGACTTTAAAGAAAAATGTTAGGCTTCTGCCCATATTCTAGTAAAAAGAGCAAAACGTTTTAAAAAAAATATCCCCAAACCCCATTAGCTAGAATACTATAGAGAAACGTTATTCAAGAAAACATCAAGGTCAGCAGGGGAGATAGCTTTCCCTTTTGTGTGTAGCACAACACACATAAAAATGGGGCTTTGATTGAGTGCTTACAGCCTCCCCATCCCATTAACAATAAACAGGCTTTATGAAACTTTGTGTCTTATGATTTGAAATCATAATACACAAAATGAAGTTCAGAAGTATAATATTGCCGTTAATTTTCAAGAATATGTAGGATTAACTGGTCTTATTACTGATTATTTAGGAAATATAGTATAATTATGATAATTATAGAACATGATTTAGCTGAACTAGGTTGGCCTCTTCTCAACATCCTAATGTTTTCCAACCATTATCATCTGCTAACTTTCCTAATTTTTGCTTCTTGTTGGTTTATCTACTACCCCTTTAGCTCCATCAATCCAATTTTCCGTCCCCAAATTTAAAAGGTTCAGATATTATAGGCTAACATTAAATACCATCTAAAAATACTATTTACAACACATCTGAAAATAGCTGCTGTTGTTAAATATCATTAAAATTTGAGAAAATATTGGTTTGTCACACATATGTTTAGAGAGTTTCATAGACACTAGTGCATATATAAAAGTCTCCTTGCAAAGGCTTCAAAATTTTTATTTATTTATTTCTATTTCATATTTCTAGACTACCCATTTCCCTCGAAGAGGGAAGATTTGTCAGAAGGTAAACAAGAAATCTGAAGGGCTTACATCACAGGATAGCAGATTTGAATACTGAAAGAATATGATGTAGATATTATGACAAAACAACTGCTTGGGTAGGTTGATTTTTGCCTACTTGTAAAACATCTACCTTAGGAGACATAACAAATTATAATTTTATCAAGTACTACTGCCATCTCTCCTGTATGAAATTCCTTAGTACTTTTGCCTATTTTCATCCATTTGGGGAAGTAGGCACATTTCCAAAAAAACCAGTGAACTGCAGCCACCCATTATATTTACTGTCTAAAGAAGCCCAGAGGTATTCTTAAAAAGAAAGTTTCTGGCATTGCAGCGAAATAATTTGTAACATGCTTTCTCTTTTAAAAATTTTTTTTCTTAAAAAGTCAGAAAGGACAAAAAGTCTGATAAACAACAAGGGAAGCTACATAGACCTCAAACTTATAAGAACTCTTCTAATGTAGAACAATGCCTCAGCATATGGAGTAACATACTTTAATTTCTACAACCTCCATTACTACTAATTAATATTGGCAATCCTTATTGCAGATTTCCCTCTCATGAGAAAGTTCTGATCTGTGAAAAAGATGATTAAAAAATGAAGCTTTTCTCTGAAAGAGAATGCACGTGCATAAAATTTCTAAATAACTTTAAATAAATCATTAGGATTTAAAAGGTTCTGTATTTTTTTACTGCAAAAGCAATAGCTAAGAATGATTGTACAGTTGTAATAGTTTTAAGAGATTCAATATTTCTGATGAATAAATTTTTATATATTCTCCTATATGCCAACTAAACCCTATGTTATAACAGGTTTTTTTTATTTGAATGGGTCAAACTTGCTTTTCCATTGCTGCAGGCTGTCCAGAGTTGTAGCACTGAATGGACAGTTATATAAATTTAATAAACAAACAAACAAATATTATGCAAATATCTGGAAAGTCCAAAAGATCTTTTTTCATCCCCATTCTCCGTAATCTAAGGCAGAGGTCCCCACCCTTTTGGGGAGCAGGGACCGGTTCCGTGGAGAGGTTTTTCCGCAGACCGAAGGGGGCGTGGTTTTGTGCTGCCTGCAACCCTCGGATGGGGCTTTGCTTGTTTGTGCGGACCAGTTGCTGGCATGCTGTGGCCTGGTACCAGTCCACGGACCGGGTGTTGGGGACCCCTGATCTAAGGAATAAACTTAGATTTACATAAACCAGTGTATCTTTAAATTGGCAATAATTTCCATTAGACAAAGGACAATGTAATAGCTTATTTAAATTATGTTTATTTTGGGAGACAGCATAAGAGTCTCAGAACAATTTTATATTGCTTAATGACTCTGTCTTAATGATTCAGTTTTGAATTTTAAAAAAACTTGTTCCAGTTTTAATTAGATATCTATTTTCCTATTGTGAATAGAAACTCACTAGATTCGTGCATTACAACTCATAGCAGATAGTAGGAGATACAAGGTATATTTATTTTTTAAACAAAGTGCTTCTGCAACAGGAATATTTTCCTAGGACCATAGCACTTTTCTTACAGGAGGAAACTAAAATTTTTAGAAAATATAGTTCATTCAGTTATTCTAGTTATAATGACCTTCTATTGTCTGTGTTAATACTCAACTGTGTAACTATATTGTAAAGAGAAAAGTAATTCTACTGATCCAGTACAATTCAGTAAAATTAAATTTATACCTTGAAGGGTCTTTGAACTGTTTCAGGATTTTCAATTGGTCTTTTAAATCGATTGGTTGCAATATCATCATGTGAATTTTCAGTATAATGGCTCTATATTAAAAGAAAATTGCAATGATTTATTGAATATTTAAGTTTTTCAAATTATAAGCCCTGCAAATCCAACATAAAGAATGCTCATTTTTCTTCTGTAACAAAAGCAATAAAAGGGGGAGCGAGAGAGACTCAAGAAGACTCAGAAGAACAACTGGATGTGCAGCCACACCTGGAACTGGAACGTCACTGCCACTGCCTCTGTTACAGAGCACAGTAGGTGATATGAGATATAAGATCATTGATAAACTAGCTACAACCAACCCTCAAGGTGAGTTACCAGGGGAGGAGTACCATCAGATAGTATGCTAGAAGATTCCAAAAGAATCATGAAATCCCTACTACCGCATAACTCAAACCAATGAACTGGTACAGGCTACACAATCAGAACAGCAGTACACCCCCACCCCCGAAAATAAGGTTAGAGGTTAATATCAAGACAACTTGGAAAGAGGTTAGTCAGTTGGTGGAATTATAGAAAGGTATAAAGATTAAGGATAAAACTCGGCTACTGAAAAAATACAAGGGCCTGACTCCATCTGAAGGCCTCGAAACTACTAAACAAAGGCTCATAGCACTGCATACCAGGCTAAGGAGATAAATCAGAGAAGCAGAGACCAAGAAGTTAAATGTCTTTTTTTCCAAAGAACTATCCAAAGGGCATTCCCAATTGCAGTGCAATAACACAATAACACAAGAGCCACCCATAGCAGAAACTGAACTGTACTGGAAGGACATATGGGAGAAAGAGCAGATACATAACATCAGTGCAAAAAGTTGTAGGACCTGAGAGCAGACCACAATAATCTCCCAGAACAGTCACAGTCACCATCACAGTAGCAGACACTCAACAGTGGATTAAGAACTAGAGCTGGATAGCACCCAGCCCAGACATAATCCACACTTACTGGCTAAAGAAACTAAAGCAGTGGATAAATGTCTAGCAGCACAGATGAACTAGCTGCCAGCAGCAAGCTCCCACCCAGAGTGACTAACTCAGTACTGATCATGAAAACCTCCCATAAGGGAACAGCACTAGCCAACTATCAGTCAATAACCTGCCTCCCTACAACTTTCTACAAGAAGTCCTATCAGGCATTATGGCCATTAAGCTACAGGACCAAAAGAGCCAGTATATCAGCACAGCTCAGAAGGGCATTGGGAACAACAACAGAGGCTCAAAACACAAATTGCTCATAAGATAGAGCAGTTGCCCAAGACTTAAGGTCTAGCCTGGGCTGCACTCAGTGAAGAGGAATTGTCTTGGGCCACATATAAAATATATAATACAGTTTTATAATATAAAACCATATAATAATGCTAAAAGTTTATGATCTTGTGAAGTTGCATTACTATCTGTCCAGGACCACATGCAACCAGTGGCAGTGGGCTGGACATGCCTGGTCAAGACAGGCCAATCTGATACAACTTGGATTGACTACCGGAAAACTTGCAACTCATTGCACACACACATGGATCTGTGAATGCCCGGCACTATCCAAAGGCAATAGGACACTAAGGACTTTTCTCAAGAACTCAATTTAACCGTAGAAAACAACACTGGGTGTAAGGACCCACCCCACTTTGCATCTTAAGAAGACAGAACTCCTGGAATATTTCTTCCAACAGGCATCTTTATTAAGAGAAAGCTGGATGCAGGCGTTCTAGACAGGACTTGGGCCCAAGCTCTCTCATTCAAGGTTTTAAGGGATCCCCCATTAGCCACACCCCATCACCCCCTTCTCCCAGCGACAATCCCAGGCATTACATTCTCACCCCCTTTTCCTCACTGCTGGGAGGAGACTTCAGAAAGGATTACATGAAAGCTAATGACCCCCATTGTTATTGTTAGTCCTTTTGGTGATATCCACATCCAGTCCCTTTGAAGTAGGCTGAAGGAAGTGAGGGCCATAAAGCCCCTTTGTTCACCCCCTTCTCTTCATCGTATGACAGAATCCAGAGCAGGCAGAAATGCGGTTTTTCATAGTTGATAACTAGAGATGGAATATATTTGGATTCTGACATCCTGCCCCCTTAAAAATAAGAGAGATCCACCTGAAAGAAAACAAAACAGGTATAAAAGTTAGTCAGGCTTGTTAGGATACTCTGTGTGAAACTTCTTTAATAGCTTCGGGG